ATTTTATTGTTTTAAAATTAACAATTTTTTTTCCTGGGGACCCTGTGACACCCCATTGAAGAGCCGTAGGCTGTGGATCTCTTAAGATCTCACTGTTGGGTTTGTAAGGCCTTGTTACTCCTAAATTTCTATCTTGTTCAAAGAGAAGATATAAAACAAAGTTCTAAGCTAATCGACCTTAGTGTTCTCCTTTTTTAAAAAGAATCGATAAGAGAATCGATAAAGAATCGAATCGTTAAACAGAATCGAAAAGGGAATCGGAATCGTGAAAATCTTATCAATACCCATCCCTAAGTGTCTAAGAATAATAATTCAGAGTGAATAAGCAGACATTTAAATCTAATCCAGCCTTTCGAGGGTGCAGTCTTTAGTTATCAAATGTGAGGCAAAGACGCAGTCTTTAAAGAGGTTAATTAACTATTTGCGGCAAACCCGACAAGATGAGAAACATGCACAACACGCTTTTGAATTCATGCAAACTCAGACTCAGCACAGAGCATCGTGTACCCTAATTTCACAAGTGAAGAATAGATTTGTAGTCCATCACAGCAATGTAGTGGCAGCCATGTTTGCAGTCAATCCTGTAAAACGCTCCCATTCATATCAATGTGTTCTCTTCAGAATGGCCAGTGGCATGTTTTAAGTGTGCTATTGGAAAACACACAAAGCATCTGCGAAATACATAAAAAATGACTTTGTGAAAAATAACTTTTGTTTTTCCACCCGACTTCTCTATTTCGTGTATAATCTGTCCTTTCTTCTCCATCCTCATCACTCAACTAGAAACTAGAAAATATCAAAAATATAATCTTACAATAATTATTATAAGCGCAAGCGGGGATTGCATAATCGTTGTGGGTAAAACAGAAGCCAAAGCTTTATCATTTCTGGTGATTTTGACTACGTGTCCACTCTCGCCTGTTTCTTTTGCTCTCTCCGTTTTTTGTGGCATCACCCAAAAGTTAAATGTTACAGTGAATAAAAGACATTAACTGATCCATATCAATTTATAGCTGAATGCAGGCTGCTGCTGGACATAGGTAACATCATTTTGACTTGCTGTCACCTGGATCTGGAGCTGTACTGTAAACAAATGCTGAAGCCCAATTTGATCAGAAAAGGAAGAGAATTTTTTTTAACAAACTAAAATAATAATGTACATCAGTTCCTTGGCTGGCAAATACCGATGTCCTAGCAGAAGGTTACAATTAGTTAATAATCTCTAGTGATTTAAGCTAAACGAATGTTTAATAATGTTTTTGACGTTATTTTGAGAACAAATAAAAATACGCAGTAATATCTATGTTGCCTATGTTCTACAGCAACAGAACACAGTAAAAAAACAAGCAAAACAAACAAATTACTTGAAGAAAAAATCAGTACATGTGGCCGAGAAGTAATAAATTATTAAAACAGAAGCAGATGGATTTCAGGTGAAATTCTGGGATATTTGATAGTACCACTGTGAAACCCTAAGGGCTGGCCAAGCCCCTAGAGAGAGGGACCAAGATGAATCCAAATCAAGTGACTACTTCTGATTTTATCTCAAAACATAAAAGAAACCTTCCCCAGACCTCTGCTCTGTCATAATAACTTCCTTCTTTAAATGGCATAAAATAATGCTTTGTTTTTTCCTGTATTTAAACCCAGATGCAAACTCTTAAAGAGTAATATCAATTTTTCCTGGAACTGCACTAGAGATCTCCATATTCCTTACTTTGCTATTTGTCCACATGTGCAGCTTCTTTACATGTTTCTGTCATGGAGTCAGGTTTGAAGTATTTTCATTGTGTTTCCTAGTGTTTTACCCTGTGTCTCGTGTGAATCTCTCTCTGTGGTCTAATAATGTTTGCCTATGTCAAATTCTTCCTGTTTTATTTTTGGAGTGACTTTCTTTGTGCATGACCATTTGTTTTGCTTCCTTTAGTAATTATCTGCATCAATACAGTCGTGTCCTTTTTTTTACTTTCCAGGTTTCCATGTGAATATTTCTTCAGTCCTTTTTTTCTTTTTGCTTTCCTAAAGTTTTTTGCTTTTGTTCAGTAAACTTTCTTGTTGTGTTTGCATTTGTCTCCTTGATAAATCTTGAAACAGTATGATTAGCTAGCTGTTGTAGCGTGGCTGTGCTAGACGTGCGATAGCAAATGTTGCATTGTGATAATCAAATACTTCAAACATATACTTTGTGTTGCAATTGAAATGACCTGAATTTAGACGTTAAGGTCACAGACCTCAAGTGTCTTTAAGTTTCCTGACCCTAATAAGTTGCATTTTTCTTGAGCACAACAGCTGAGCCAAGCCACAAAGATGAGATTAGCTCATCTGGGGCCCGTTCTTCGTACCTCGCTAAGTAAGTTAGCTGGATTAGATTGTTGACGATTTCGCGTGATCCTGGATCGTTCGGTTCCCCGAAGCTCATCCGGGACTTGCTGTCATAGCAACAGAGCCGTAAGCGTAAACCTGCTCGGGAGCAGGTTTACTTTATGTAAACAGGATTAGATCGCGGCCACGCAGGTATGTCCGCTTCATTTATACGAAAGCAACAGCGATATTCCACCACTGTTTCACCATAAATAAATAACATCAATGTAACTAAAGATAATGCAGCACCTGATCCATTTATTGATTTCACACAGATACATACAGGTCATTTCCTAAAAAAGGGAAATGTACTATTAACATTCTATTACATGTATGTGATTATTACAGATGTAATTCATATTTCAGAGTAGTAATTGTAAATTACTTCGTGTAATCAAGATGAGAGACCACGGCTATAAAAGCGAAGGTGGATTTGGGAAGCCTGTCGCAGCCATGTCCTGTCCGTATACGCGAGCCACCCATTGCGGAAGGTGCAAGATTGATAAGGAGAGTCCTCAGAATTCAGCGTATATTGCGGGATAGACAGGATCCTTTAGCTCAGCGCGACAGTGTGCTCATTGAGAGATATCGATATTCCCGTGAGGGTATTATTTACTTAACCAACTTGTTGACGAGGGGGTGCAGGACCACCACCTGTCTTTTTTTCCTCTGCCCTTTTCTTGGTTGCTGTTATGAACAAACTAACAGAGTATTCCAGGCCAGTATTACCTTGCCAAGAGACGAAAAGCAATCTAAGAGATAAATATTACCATTCTGTAGAATACTCCTGTATTCCACTTTTACTTGTTCCCATGTTCTTGTGGGTCCTGTTGTGGCTCTAATGTGAAAGGGGATATAATATAACATATTATGATATAATATAATGCCATATGATATTGGACAATATAGTGTCATATGATAGATCTACCCTACCGCCTACTGGTGTTGGCCAGAGGGGCCGATGGCGCGATATGGCAGCCTGGCTACAACCGTAGCTGCCTCCACCAGTGTGTGAATGTGGGAGTGAATGAATAGTGGTATCGTAAAGCGCTTTGGGTGCCTTGGAAAGCGCTATATAAACCCAATCCATTATTATTATTATTATTAAATTACCTACGAGTTTGATTTGTCAGCAACTTTCTGCCAGCCCTCTCTCCTTGCTTTTGCAGCCTTTGCAGTGTTCTCTTGCGTTTTAATTAAACTCTGAAACTCCTGAAATCCCTCACTCATGAGTTCTTGCTCTGCTGCCGGAAAATACCGAGCACGCCCCTTCGACATTTTCGCCGACCAATCAGCGGGTTGCCGATCAATGTTTCTACTATCGATGCGTAGCCCCTTTTACGACACCCAGTGATCGCGCATTACTTCATCCAGCTGTAGTAATCGTCAACAGCAGGTGTGTTCGGGGAACCGGATTAGCGAGCTCACGGTTAGCGCGATGATTTGATCTTGGATGTGTCATTTGATCTTGGATGTAGTAAGCGACGTACGAAGAACAGGCCCCAGATCTTGATGCAAGCCCGCATCAGCTGATTCCTCAATAGGTAACAACTCTCACAAAGTATGTGCTACTTAAGCGCACATTTGCACATCTGCAAGCCACTTTGCAAGCCACGTCCACACCAATTCCATATGTCATACTGAGTCTTACTTTGGGGTGGCTGTGGCTCAGAAGGTAGCGAAGGTCATCAACTATTCAGAAGGCAGGTGGTTCAATTCCTAGGTGCTCCAGTCTGCATGCCAAAGTGTCCTTGGGCAATTGCTCCTGATGTATTCATTGGAGTGACAGAAAGTATTTAGATGTTTTCCATGTATGTATGTGGAAGGGTGGGGAGGTCCTGGGACAGATTCGTGTTCACAAAAAAAATGATATATAATGTATTACATAGCTGCTGTGACATATTACAATATGTTTTAAACACGTAGATAACCTGCCCCCACCCTAGGGTCCTGTTTGAATTTATTTAGCATATTTATTTAGCTTTCAGCTTCCTCCTCATGTTCTGAGGGCACTCCAAAGCAGCTCTAAGTGATCTAGATAAGCATAATTATCCACTATATATACACTACAACATCATCAAGATCAAAGAATGGTTTACTGAACGAAAACAGAATCACACCTGGCCATAAATGACCCCTCCCTCTATGAAACACAGTGGTATTCCTAATGAGCCATGTTGTATATTTTGTTCCTTGTTTGGATCTATTGTGCAGGCATAAGCCATATTTGAATAATAACCATAGAAAATCATCACAGTAGTACTCATGTAAGATTTTGTCTTTTATCAGCTTTATTGACAGAGACAGTGAAGAGATGACAGGAAAGCAGAGGGAGAGAGAGAGACGGGACTTGAACCCAGGCCAGCTGCTCAACGCACTGAGCTAAACCAGCAACCTTCCTTGTTGATTTTTACGTGATAAAAACACATGAGTTGTTAAGAGCTGTGTGTTTTAGCTTGAGGTGGGAGTAGATAGAAGGCATAGTCAAAGATTGTCTGCAAGTGTGCAAAAGCTATTGCTATTGTTTTTGTATTTGCACCAGCAAGGAGTTTTTATTGTTGCATTGTCTAAAACGCAGCACCCTTTGCACCCTTGCAACCAAAACCTGTCAGGGGAAACAATACGATAGATACACTTACCTCTTCAGGAAGGCTAACAACCAAGCCATTCTCTGCCTGGCCCACCAACGCCTGGAGGAAATACTCGCTGCACGCAGCCAGCACAGCCCGATGTCCTCGGAATTCCTTGCCTTCCACCAGGACAGTCACATCACACAGGATATCCTGCTTCCGCTGGTCGTTGAGGCAGAGGAGGATATTGGTACAATGAACTGTTGACTCATACACATACATGGGGGCTTCAGACTTCTCATCCACGGACATTCCGCTCACGCCCTGGAAATAGAAGCAAAATAGAGGGGGGGTCAGCTTACAGCCAAGCCCAGCAGGCACATACCGCAGGGCTGACATCAGCCCCAGTGGTCTGCTGTAGCCAGCCTCATGACTGACTGCTGTTTCACGTGCTCACTCCTAGTTCAACATTTAAAAGCTAGTGATTGTTGTTGTGCACGTTTCAATACAAAATATGCATATACACCTGAAATTCACAGGTATTCCCTACATCACTGCTTGTCATGTCACATTAAAATCATATCCAGTCAATAACCAGGAAACAAAACCACACTGTACACTTTGATGCATTTACTTTTGAGGTCTATGAGTGTTTGAAATTACCCTTCCTGTGGACATCCACATGCACACCTATTTTTTATGAAGACACTGACTTAAATTACACTGCACAACTAAGTGTACATCTTTCAGGTGGACTCCAAGAAAACTTGAAAAAAGTAGAATAACAGACGTTCATCTAATATTTGTACGACCAAACTGCTCCTATGGCAAATGGGAACAGTTTTATTATCAGCTTTTAAAGATTATTTAACACAATAACCTGGCACCAAAATACTACTTTTCTAGTTTAACTGACTGCACACTTTTAACTACAAGGCACATTCACACAGTGCTTTATTCTATACAGTAACCGGGGGAGGAAAACCAACACAGTCACAGCCAAGAGCTCCACACAGAAAAGCCTTGCTGTCCAAGAGGTTTGAACCCCAAACCTTTTCGCTTGTGAGAGTGTAATGCTAATGATCAGGTCAAGTCGACCCAGTAAAAAAAGTTGGTTAACTCATTTTTGGGGCAGGTCTGTTGTCCCCCAGTCCAGTGTTCTTATTTACCACTACTGGTGGTGCTCCTGTTAAAAAACCTTAATTTATACGCCTTGGAGAGAAAAAAAAAGTTAAAACATTAGCAGAATATTGTTCTTAATTAGTATAAAATGCTATAACAAACAAATCAGTGAACCTTAACACAGTTCAAATAAAAATCCTGGTTCTTTCCCAGTGCTTTGAGTCTTTATTGCTCAGACTGGGTAGATAAGTCCTGATTTCATGCAATAACACAAGGATACACAGTAAGACAGGATTGACTGTCTGACCCTTACAGGTTTAGTTGCCTTTAATCAAACTACAACTAATGTATTCACACAAAGATAACCTGGAGGCAAAGTGGACAGGACAGTCATCCACTGAGCCTGGTTGGTAATCCACGCTTGGATTTACGGGAATAGTTATAAGGGAAGACAGTTACTAGGAAAGCTCTATAGGAGAGCTAGACAGAATCAGAGTCTTCCACAGTGGGTCTTTTGGCCTATCCTATCGCAGTTGCATTCTTAGGTGTGTAAAAGTAAATAGCATCAAATGGGCATGGCCTTTGAGGTTTTGTGCCTGACTGTCATGGCAGTAATTTCCTATTCAGACCACAAGAAGTTGAACTCTGGGAACATGCACACGCAGCACGTGCCCCTGTGGAAACGTTTTCATGTCAAACGTTCCATTCTGGTCACTCGCCCCAGTGACGACAGACCTAGAGGTATCTTCCTTCACACACACACACAAAAGCAGGAAAGGGGAAAAGCTATCAGACAAATGTCTAAAAAAATCTGATTACAGAGAGAAATGCCTTTACGCCTCTATGCAGAACTGTACTAATTAAAGAGTAATGCATGGTGCTGGACGCTGTATACACTGAGATGCTTTTGACTGACAGATAATGTGCCACAGGGCTGTTTTTACAGAAAAGGGTGCTCAGTGGACTTTTTGCTTCTTTTTTAAAACATATACGTATAAAATATGGGAAAACACACAAACTCCTACTGTTAAAATGGCCAAATAATCATGTAAACACAGAAGGAAACTCTAAGTGCCTTACAGTTTTACATATGAAGACATTTTCTGGCAGAGAAAAAGCGCTAGTGGAGAAAACACAACTAGCATCCTGTAACATTAAAAATCTGCTGATGAGCACCTTCACAATGATTTTGTCTTCAATCACAAATCAGTTTTCTGAGCCTGTTGGATCTTCCCATTCTTTGGGTTATCTCACGGAAAGTGGGAAAGGTATGGGCAGGTGTAGCTAATTTTACTAGACCTAGCAAGAAAGCACTTTTATGACTTACTCATAAAATACCAAATAACCTATAAACCAACAAAAACTCTAATTGACTTACAGTTTTTTGAATGAAAACGCTCTCTGGAAGAGGAATTCCACAAACAACTCCTTCTAACCTTATTTATTTTCTCCATTAACATTCTCAAAGCAGCCATCATATCTATCGCTTGCTATTTCTTGGCCTGAAACCAATAAAGGTAAATGGTAAATGGACTGGTTCTAATGTAGCATGCTTCTACTCTGGTAGAGCACTCAAAGCACTTTACTTTACTAACATGCCTCATTCACCCATTCATAGAAGAGACCTACTCTACCTCCTGAGCTACAGCGATACCTATGCCTATATCATCACCTCACTTCATAACTCTTTCCCACAGCTTCATGGTATGGCTCATTAATGTATTGTTTTGTAGTTACTACAACTCTCCATATCACCCTGGATCTTGAAAACTGGTACGAGTACACAGTACCATTTCTAAAACATCCTCTCACTCTCCAAGAGTGTGCTATACAATCTGTTCCAAAACCCCCGCTCACTTCCGTCTTCTCCATACCTCTGCAGATATGTAGTTGGGACTACAATCTTCATCCTCTTCTTTCTCCAACTAGCCAACAATAAATTGGCCAGTTGAATTTGACAACATAAATAAAGACATAAATAAAAGGGAGGAAGTATTGCAATTATACAAATGAGTTAGCAACTGCATGACCTGTTTTTGACCTCTGGTTTATGAAGAAACTGATTTTGCTTTAAACCATGTTTGAAAATAAGGAATCACAGCCTGGGGTTCTGGTCTTTTGTGCAAGAGATCTGAGGACAAAATACTTGTCAATCACCTATTCTATACTTTTTTAAAGTCTATTAGAAATATCTGATACAAACAAATGCATACTGAGCATACACCACAAATAAGGGAAGTGAAAACTGTGAGCTGCCTTTGCAAGAAATCGTTGCATTAAGGTTGTTTGTGGCCTTTGTTGTGACTGAGTTGTAATAATGATTTGACTGGGGTGGTCAAAGCACACAGTAAGATGTGACAGCTGTTCTTGTTGTTGAAGTATGTCAGTCTAGTCTGGTCCAAATGATATATAGTTATGATACTTTCACTAAACACTTCTCAGTTAGTTTTGCAGGATCATGATCTGTCTTCCAAGAATAATGTTTTCAGATGTAGCTGCAAGGTTCAAGGCCATGTGAACGTGATGTTTGCACCCTAGAATTCAATTCACTTGCAGTCGGAGGAAAATGCAATGATAACACAACACAATGATGCAGCATAACACACGTGTCTGCACACACACACACACACACACACACACACACACACACACACACACACACACACACACACACACACAC